CCGCCCGCGCCCGACGTGTTCGCCGGCTTTGCGCCGCACCCCGCAGCCCTGGGCGCCCCGGCGCTGTTGGCCGAGCCTCTGAGCGTGATCGGCAGCCGCAAGAAGAGCGTGAACATGACCGAGTGCGTGCCGGTGCCCAGCTCCGAGCACGTCGCCGAGATCGTGGGGCGCCAGGGTGAGTGGTCGCCGTCGGGGGAGGGAGGGGCGCGCGCGCCAGGCCTCTCACACCCCAGGACGGGGGCGCCCAGGCCCGGCCCCAGTTCCTCCCGCTGCAGGACTCTGTGCGCGGGACCCCGGCCACGCCCCGCGTGGGCCCGGTCCCGTGGCCGCCTTTGCGCCTTTGTCCAGCCGCGGGAGAAAGTTGCTCGCAGCCCGCGCTCCGCCCCGCGCGATCCACCCGCCACCGCCTTTGTCTGCGTCGGGGCTCCCTCTGTCCAGGCCCCCAGGGGCTCCGTGGGGTCCGCTGGGACACCCCGGAGAGAGAGCTGGACCTGGGTCGCTGGCTGGGCGGCGGGCGCTCCACCCCCACAACAGGCATGGGCGGGGCGAGCTCAGGTTCGGGGGTGGCTTAGGGAAGGCGTCCGCGGGGTGAGGAGTCCAGTCTGGGTTGGGGGCGCACAAAGGGCGCATACCAGTGCGCCAGCTCGGGGTCTCGATGGGGTGGGGGGTACTCCATCCTGTGCCCCAGCAAGGGATCTGGGGCTGGTGGAAGCACTCGCTGTGGAAGCTGCTTTGGGGCGCACCCCTCGTCCTCCATGGCAACCGGCCCCGGGCTGACCCGGGGCGCGGGGGTCCCCGGCAGCGGTATTGTTGGAGTGGCCCCTGTTGCCCGCCCCATTGTTCTCTTTGTTAGAGAGCCGGGCCGAGATTCGCAGGGTGACATCAGGCTGGCCGATGCTCATTGGCCCTCGAGCTGCTGGGCGGGCGAGTGGGTGGTGGGCAATGCCTGGCCCGGCACACACCCACCGCCCCGTGCACCCCGCGGCTCACCCCACGGGCCCCAACTTTCTCCTGCCTTCCCCCCCGCCCCTCCCTGCCCCGCTCCGCTGACCACCTGTGATCAGCGGGGGTTCTAAAACTTGGGGTGGAGCCTGGGCAGGGCAGGAGGTGGGGCTGCAGAGGCACTCAGGCAGGGGGAGGGGACCCAGCTCTGGACCCTCAAGCGGAGCCACAGAAGGAAGGGCGTGGGGTACTTGAACTGCAAGGTTACCTGTCACCCTTGAGGCTGGTGGGGATGCAGGTCTCACTGTCATCCTTCCCTAGCTCCGGGTGGGTGGGGCAGCTGGCCAGCCAGCCCTCGGTCTTTCAGCCACTCACTTGCCCACCACACACAGGGACATACTTCTGGGCCTGGGGATGCGCCCCAGGAGTGGCAGTTGGGGAGGGGACGGGGTCTCTTGAGCCCTGCTGTCCCGGTGCACAGGCATCCCAAGACCCTAGTCCAGACAGCGCCCTCACCCTGTTGCTGGCTTCCAGTTGGGTCCCCTCCTGTCCCTGTCCCCTGTAACTGCACCAGGATGAATTACAGGACAGCAGGGCGGGGCATTGTGTGCTGAACTGTGGGATCAAAAGCGCAAACCAAGGCCTGAGGTCGTGTCCCCAAAGTCACCAGACCCACGCTCTGGGTAGAGGGGGAACGAGAGTGTGTTCTTTGGTTCCCTGTGAATGTCCTGAGACCTGCAGCCAACTGAGGTGGTGACGGGGTCAGGGCGAGGGCCTCTGGCTTGTGGCCACCACCTGATCGGGTGACCCAGCCTGAAGTCTTACAGGCACCAGAGAGCAAGGGCTGCTGTGATCCTGAGCAAGGGGCAGCCACTCTGTGATGTGGTGACAGCATCTCCCCCTGGATTGTTTCGAGGACACTCAAACAAGATGCTGGCTTGAATCCTGGCTCTGTGTCACAGTGTCACAGTTCGCTGTCAGGGGGTGCTGGTCCCAGGGGGGAAGGTGAAATGCAGTTCTTGCCTCTCCTCCAAGAACCACCTGCTGTGGCTCCCAGCTTCTCCACCACCCCGCCCCCAAGTCAGTGCAGCCAGTGCCACCGCCCCGCTGCTTTCCTCCTGAATCCCAAGACCACGGAGCCGTCTCCGGAGCCCAGGAGTTTGCCTGGGACCAGCCCTTTCCCTCACATCCTGATCTGACCCTTGGTTTTCTCCATTCCAGAGGGCCTCAGGTGCTTGCTGGGCAGAGCCGTGCTGCTCCAGACCCCTCTCCAGCCTTGTGCAGGGAGCAGGTGCCCCTTTATCCTCTCACCAGGTCTTTCCATTTTTGGCATGAGGGATGGAACCCAGAGCAAGTGCTCACTACTGAGCCTGGGTCTTTTTGTTTTTTTTTTTGTCTGTTTGAGACAAAATCTCACTAGGCAGTTCAGGCTGGCCTTGAGCTCACTTTGTAGCCCAGGCTGGTCTTGAACTCGAAATGATCCTCCTGCCTCAGCCTCCTGACTGCTGTGATTATAGGTGTGCCCCACCACACCCAGCTTGAGCCTAGGTCTTTATTTTTTTGTCTGTTTGTTTTGGTTTTGATTTTTTGAGACAGGGTCTCCAGTCTCCTTATGCAGTTCGGGCTGTCCTTGAACTCAGGTATTGCCCACGCTGGCCTCGAGCTCTCAGTGATCCCCCTAACCCTCCCTCCCACCACTCACTACCACTTGGAGCTGCAGAGTGGAGACTCCCAGTGGGTCCAAGAAGGTCACCCTGGAAGCCACTGTGCCACTGCCCTGTGGATGTGACCTTGGGCTCCTTCCTTGGTTCCCAGGATAGAAGCAGGGCGGGTGCTTTCTGCCTCTTGTACAGGGTCTCAATCCTCCCAAGGGCCCTGTTGCAAGGGAGTTTTTAAATTTTTTTTTTTTTTTTTTTTTGTACTGAGAATTGAACTGAAAACCTTGCACTTGCCGGGCAGGAGAGGAGTTTATTTTTATTTTTATTTTTTTTGGTTTTGGTTTTTTTGAGTCAGGGTCTCCGCTGTGTATTTCAGGTTAGTCTTGAACTCATTGTGTAGCCCAAGCTGTCCTCAAACTCCCAGCAGTTCTCCTGCCTCAGCCTCCTGAGTCCTGAGATCACAGGCATGCACCACTCTTGCTTCTTGGGGCAGGGGTGTGGCGGGCTCACTTCTGGTACTCTGGTCACCTCTTAGGCTGGGCATCAGTCAGCTTGGGCCAGGAAACCTCACAATGGACCCAGCAGCCAGAGCGGACTGTCCTGGACCCCTAGGCTGTGGCTCAGGCAGACTCAGGGCTGCCATCTCAGCCGCCTCCCCAGCTGTCCCCACCCCCCTTTGTCACCTCATTCAATCCAGGGGTGGGAGGACCCCATGCCAGACACTGAGAGCTGGTGGCTTCTGTGGGGCGGCTCGGCAGGTCATGTGGCGGGGTGCTGGGGAGGTTCGGGTACAGAGAGACAGAGCCGTTCTGCACTGGAGTCTCAAAAAGTCAGCGAGGACTAGGGGCATGGCGGGAGCAGCCAGGAAGGCCGTCACCCTCCTAGGACATGTGTGACCGCCGTCCCCATCCCTGCTCAGAGCCCTCAGTGAAGGGGTCACTGTGATTCTTGGGGTGTCTGCCTCTGTCTCCTACTGTCCCTCTTCTGAGCCCTTGGGGCCACCCTGTCTTCCTGGCCTCATCTCCGTGACCTCTTCTCTGTCAAAAGTGGTGGGAGGCTGAGGCAGGAAGATTATAATTTTGAGCCCAACCTGGGCAACTTAGTGACTTAGTGAGGCCCTGTCTCAAAATAAAAAAAAATTTTAAAAAGCTGGGAGTGTGGCTTTATGCGAAGGCCCTGGGTGCCATTGCCAGCACTGGGGAAAAAATTATCCTAATTTTGTGTTTTCTCCCTCTGGAGACATTGGCAACACTGTTCCCTGCTCAGCACCCTGCCCGCCTCCATTGAAACAGCGCCGCTATGTGGCCTCCGCCTCCCAAGTCTGCAGGAGTCACCCCAGTGTTCCCTCAGGGGCACAGCCCAGAGCAGAGGGGGCCGTGATCTCCCCGGGCTGCCGCACCCAGACCGAGGGGGGCCGAGCCTGAGGCACACTGGGTCCTTCCCGGCTGCCCAGCTCCAGGCAGTACTGTCACTCAGGGTGTCCCCTCTCTTATTTATGTGTGCCCTGGTCGCTGTCATCACCGGGCTACGTCTGTTTTCCCCTTACGAAGATGTGCCTGCTGCATTGGGACATTGTGGCCGCATTTGAACTAATTACACCTGGGAGGGTGGAGGCCGCCTCAGCTTTCCTTCTGCCGCTGTAACTAAGTATCTTCTGCTTCTGCCAAGGCAGAAGCGTTCCTGCGCCTGTGGTTCCCAGGAGACGGGAGCCCATGATCAAGGCGTCTGTACATCTGGCAACCCTGAGGGCCACTAGGGGTTGAACCCAGGGTTTTCCTGTTTCCGGTCTTTCTTCTCTTACTTGACCGGGTCTGGCTGAGTTGTCTGGGCTGGGCTCAGACCTGTGATCCTCCTGCCCCAGTCTTCCTAAATGGTGGGATGACAGGCGTGTGCCACCACGCCTTGCTAGACGGCGCCTTTTGTGTCCTCACACTGAGGAGGGAGGGAGCCACCTGGCGCGTCTTCTCAGGGTGCTCGTGGCATTCAGGAGGGTAGCACCCTCCTGTCTGACGTTCCCAAGGCCCTACCCCCTAATAGTGTCACACTGGGTACCACTTTGCCATCTCTGCCCCCGGGGAGGTGGGAGACACATTCATTCACTCTGGTCATAGCGGTCACTTTCTGCAGTTCCAGCTGGACATGACTTATGGGGGACCTGCTACCGGGTCCTTATTCTTTTGCCATCCCTTGGGGCCCAGAGGGGAAACGGAGGCTCCAGGTAGAGGATAAACAGCTGGGGTCTCTGAGCTGGGTGCACCCACTGGCCTGCAGCCAGCTGGGCTGTGCTGGGCAGGGGGTCAGCGTGTCCCCCACCTCCTCCCACAGGCTGCAAGATCAAGGCCCTGCGTGCCAAGACGAACACGTACATCAAGACACCGGTGCGCGGGGAGGAGCCGGTGTTCATCGTGACAGGCCGCAAGGAGGACGTGGAGATGGCCAAGCGCGAGATCTTGTCTGCCGCCGAGCACTTCTCCCTGATCCGGGCCTCTAGAGGCAAGGCCGGAGGGCTGCCGGGCGCCGTCCCGGGCCCCCCCAACCTGCCGGGACAGACCACCATCCAGGTGCGCGTGCCCTACCGCGTGGTGGGGCTGGTGGTGGGGCCCAAGGGCGCCACCATCAAGCGCATCCAGCAGCGGACACATACGTACATCGTGACGCCGGGGCGCGACAAGGAGCCCGTGTTCGCCGTGACCGGGATGCCCGAGAACGTGGACCGCGCGCGCGAGGAGATCGAGGCGCACATCACGCTGCGCACGGGCGCCTTCGCGGACTCGGGCCCGGACAGCGACTTCCACGCCAACGGCAC